CAGCAGGAAGTTACCACCAGGCCACGTGGGGCCAGTAAATTCAAATCTTGGCCCCCAGAGCAGGTACCTGCTCACTGTCCACTCTCCGCAACCCAGCAGCCAGCAAAGACACTGAATTAAAAACTTGTCGCCTACCCAATGCTGGGGGTAGGGTGGGGGGCGGACACACACACACACACACACACACACACACACACACACACACACGAAGGGCTAAGACCTATAAATGAATGGTAACATAAAGAAGGAATCCTGGGGGGTGGGGGATTAGCTGGAGAGGAGGAGGGCTTGAGCTGCAATGGGAACTGAGTGGAAATTTGTCAAGGGTGGTGGGGGGAGAAGAATGGGGAAAGGGGGGAGACGGAGCCAGAGAGAGGAGGAGAGAAGGGGAGGGAAAAGGAGAGGAAGGAGGGAAATAAGCAAGGGCTAGAAGATGGGGAGGAAGATAAGGAGAAAGGGGAGAGGAGAAGGAAGAAAGATAACAAAAGGAGAGGGAAGTGACCAGCCCAGGGCCGTGCAGAGTGCAGAGGCTGGCATAGTGGCTCGGCTCTGGCCAGCACTGCCCCTGCCCATGCGGAGCTTTTTTTTTTTTTTTTTTTTTTGCTGTCGGCGGCCGGCAAGCCTCAGCAAACACATTTAAATCTGAAGTGACAGATAAAGCGATTTACGGCGACAGTTTAGCGTCAGATCACTTCCCACCAGGCAGTCGCTGTCCCTGCGGCCCCCTGCTTGCTAGTCCATCAAGGCGGTCTCTAAATCACCCGCACCAGACCAGCCGAGGCAGGCTGGGGACAGCCAGAGCAGGGCGGGGCACCAGTGGCCTCACTGGTGGCCAGACGCTCAGTGTCGGTGCCTGCTCCTCCACACACCGGGCTCCACTACCTTTCGGAGCTGCATGAAGGGATGAAACAAGGGTTTGTGCCACGGTGGGGTGGGGTGGGGTGGGGGATAAGAGGCGGGTAGGCTCTCACAAATCAAAGCCGTGGGACTTAAGGAAGCAGAGTGCCACTCTTGCCTTATTTTAAATAAATAAGCAGCTTAAAAGTCTCCAGTGAGGCCGGCTTGTCGCTGTGAGACATGGTTTCCCACCATTCTTTAAGGCCAGGCCCCAGAACCCAGACCCTTCAAAGGCCTCCCTGACCCACCTCGCCTCCCGCCACCTCCTTGCAGAATTAATTGGTCCCTGCGGCGTCACGCACACTTTATTCAAACCTCCCTCCCGGCGCTGTGTCACATTATATTCTACTTAGCCGCTCTTGCTCCTGACTTCCTCAGGACTAATTTACTGGGGCCTCTGTGTGTCAGGCCTAAACATGTGTCATCCTCGCTCGCACACTGGCTGGGGCTGAGGATGATGGCAGCTTTCAGATGAGGACCTGAGGGATGGGAGGTGCCGGCAGGAGCTCCCATTCCACTCCAAAGGCCTCGGTGGTGCCCTGACACACATGCACAGCCTGAGATTGCTCTAAAGAGAAAAATGGCTGTCTCGTTCGTGTACGCTCTGCCCTGAGATGACTCTAAGGCCAATGCCAGGCCACTGGATCCCTGGGCTGGCCAAAAATGAGGGTCTTTGTGTTCACCCTTCTAGGCTGGGAGTTGGCCATCTCAGGCCCAGAGGCCCACAGACACCAGGCTGCTGAACTAGACATTCAAGATATAGATTTAAGGTTCATCCTCTGAGACACAGAAAAGACTCAAACACTGTGAAAGCCACAACACCCCCCACCCACGTGGAGAACCCCAGACCTGAGCTCTCCCCACACACAGCCCTGGGGGTCAGAGAACACTAGAGAGACAGGCCCCCAGCATCTCCAGTGCCTGGAGGAGAGAGTGGCCACAGGGGTTCCCTAGCTTATCTTGCCAGTACGGCAGTCAATTTAATTAAGATGAATGTGGCATACCCCATGGGCAGGAGTTGTGGCCGGCACAGATGGCAGGAGCTTGAGGCTCTCCTGGGTGCTGCCCTGGCACGTGGCCTTGGCCATCAGCCCATGGGGCGGCTATGGGGAGAGTTTAGTGAGCTTGGCTTGCCCCCGTGACCTTAACCCTGCCACTCAGTAGTCAGGCCTTCTGCCCCTGCCACATAGCGTACAGCGGTATCACAGACACACACGGACACCATCACGTCACACCTCACACATGCCCTTTCGGCTGGGTTAAAATCAGTCAAATGCCAAGTGGCTAGTAGAAAGATGGGGGTGGGTGCAGGTGACCGGGGAGGGCACTGGACCTGGCCTTTGCAAGCACTGCCTGCAGGACAGAGATGCTCTCCCTTAAGCGTCCCACTTCTCAGCATGGGGATAAGGGTCCAAACCTCCCCGTTCCCTCACAGGCCCCCTCTAGTTCCCCCTACATGCTTCTCCTTCGTGTTCTTGCAGCTGGAGTGAGGCCCAGGGGGACACTCCTCCCCATCTGGAAACAGAGACAAAGTGAGAACAAAATGAGGATGGACACAGACACAGACACACACAGACACACACACACACACACACACACACACACACACACTATGGAAGCCCCAGCCACTCCCAGTCCACCCAATGCTCCACAGGCCATCAAATGCCCACAGGCCAATGCTACCCCTGGCTTCAAAAATAAAAATTTAAAAATTCCCACCCCGAGATAATTGCTCTCTCCTCTTGCCTATTGTGGTGGCTCTGCGGTCGGCAATGAGAAGCAATTATTCACGGCTAATGATTATAATCAAGTCAAATAGAATTTAATGGACATGCATTCTCTTCCTGCTTGAAACTTTACATATGAATTAAGCACATATGGGTTTCACGAGGCTCGGACGCAGATTTATGCAGCCCTGAAAAGCCCCACATTGCCTGCGACTTTTATTTCACTAATAAAGGCTGATTTATGGGTTCCTTGGAAACGCAATCTCTGCTGCCCCCTGGTGGGTGATGCGCCGGGGTGAAGCCAGGGCCCAAAGGGATGGGAAGGGACCTCTGTCTGATCAATGCCGATACCACATCAAACACTGGGGATGCAGGCTCTGCATGGGAAATCCATGTCCAACACCTGCTTTGACCACTGTTTGTCACTCTGGAAGAGTTCTAAATCCCGACTGTGCCCCTTTCTAGAAAAAGATCTCAAGAAAGCACACTAAGACGTCGGGTTCACTAAGGCAAGCAGGAGACGGGAGGCTGCTCATCTGCAGGAGGCACCAAGTCCTTTTCTCGTTGAGCTGCACTTGGCTTCTGTGCAGGTTGTTCCTACCTTGCATGTCCCCAACTACCCGATAGGTCACTTTCCATCATCCGCATTGTACGGAGACAGAAGGAAGCCTGGCAGATGCAAGGATGCCATGTCCTGGGGGAAGCATGACCAACAGGGCCACCAGCCCAGAGCAGCCAGCTCAACCAGTGCTGGCGTGCTCCTCAGTGAGAAATCTGACAGGCCAACCCATGCCCCGTGTCCAAGCCTCCAGAGCCTTTTCCTGTTCCATGAATTCTGTGACACCAACCTTGGTCCCTAAACCCAAATTTCTTCACAGGCTAGGCTGCCAGGGAATTCACGAGGCAAGGCACCTGCTTTTCCATTGTCCATTTTACAACTCAACAGGAAAGAAACCACTGGGTGCCGTCCGCACCTTTGACAGTAAAATGCAGGGCCAGGTGACAGGGCAAGGCAGACCCAAGAGACTTCCTGAGGGGCAGGTGTGCAAACCAGACAAAGCTATCTTCACTCAGATTGATCCACTGAACACCCTGCCACCTACCCTACATCAGGTGCTCAAGGTGCACACAGAAGCAGCAGCCAGAAAGGCAAAGGTGACCCAGTTCTCTGGCACTAAGTGCCACCCATCACTGTGTCTGAGACAGGCAGGGTGGGGGAAGGGCACAGTGTTATCCCTCTGCAAACACTGCCAGAAATGCCACCAGGATCACAAACGCAAAGGTCCAGGACAGAGTGAGCAGTCACCTCTGCCTGGAGCCCAGTTACTTAGGGAGACCAAAGAGACACTGACAATAGCTCCCTGTTCCAGAGTCCTGGAGGGACCGACTGCCTTGTGGGGGCACCTCGCTCTGCCAAGCTGCAGAGCTTCTGCAAGCCAGAAGGCGAGAGGAGGTCCAGAAACACCTGGGGTGCTGTGGGCTGCACAGGGGCAGGGACTGGCATGATGGGGTTCTCCCTGTACGTCAGAGCCCTGTGTTAGGAGCTTTGTACTGATAGTCGCACAATCATAGAAAAAGACACCTCTGATGCCAGCCATAGTTCCTGAGGGTTGTATGAGGCAGGGAGGGTGGGAGGAAAAGAGGGTGAGAGGGAGGGAGGAAGGGAGGGAGGGAAGCCACCCAACCTTGTTCCAAGAAGTTCCTATGCACATGCTAGACTTTGCTGGCCCCAGACACCTGTTCCTGGTGACTCCAGAACCCTTTCCAGAGCCTCTTGACCTCAGCCAGACAAACACCACAGCATTCTTCCCTCCCTCAGAGAAGCAGCTGCCTCCACTCTGCTCATCACAATAAACTGCCAAGCCAGCAAGAGGAGAACACACGCAGGAAGCTGAGCAGCTCCCAGCCCAGGCGCTGGAGAGCTGCCAGGGGGCTGAGGAGGACCTCTCTGTACCCTCCCTTCCCTCCATGAGCTCCCTCACCTGGCCAGGTGTGGAGTGAAGCAGGGTGGAGGTGAGGAAGCAGCCACAGCCCCCCTCCCCTAGGATGAAGAGAGCTGGCTTTGGCCTCCACCTCAGAGGCGGGGCAGTGTGGCAACTTTCCAATGGTGCTCTCCCCCATCCCCACTGCTAATGGGCCTCAGAGCTGCAAGGCAGCTTGGCAGAGCGAGGTGCCCCCACAAGGCAGGTCAGGGCTTCAAGAGAAAAGAGCCCAAGTAGCCGCCACGCTGGGCTCCTGTGGCGCCAGCAAGCCATCCACACCAGCAACTGAGAGGCTCTCTGGAGCCAGGTGGCGCCCACCCATTTTTGGCACACCGACCAAGCCGAATGTGACAAAGTGGCCCCCCCAGGCCTCTGACTCAGGCCAGTCACTCACCAGCGTTGACAATGGCATCCACTTCCAGCTTGGTGATGTCCCCACGGAACAGGGAGATTTTCTCATTCAGCTGCTTGTCCTTCTTATACTTGGGGTCCTCCACTTTCACGGCCACCCCTGGAACAGGCAGGGTTAAGGGGCCTTCATTGCAGAGTGACTCAGCCAGAGCCCATGGGCAAAGAGCCAAAAGGGTAGTGAGTGGCCACTGATGGTGGTGGTGACATCCTACTCTGCATGAGCACCTACTGTGTGCACACAAGGCCTTCACAGCAATGACCCAGGAAGTGTCAGTGATCTCACACACCCCCTGGTTTCCTCATTTTTGAGACAGGCTGGCCCCAACTTGCTACATAGCCAAGACTGGCCTTCAGCTCCTCATCTTCCTGCCTCTACCTTCCAAGTGCTAGGATTACAGGAATACCCTACCACACCTGACTTCACACACTCCATTTTTAGGTGTCACAACAGAGGCTGAGGTGGGATAAGTGGCTTGCCTGGGGTCCTGGGTTAGCACACCTGCACTTTCAGGCCTCAGGAGTTCCCCAGCATGCCCCTGTAAGCAAGAGCATCACAGCCCAGCTTCCAGCAACTGAGTTACCTGAGGTAGATGGCTTATGTGGCCTGGAGCTGGTTTCTTAATGCTGTCATGGAACTGAAAACCAAACTGGCCTCAGGCAATGTTAATAATTAATGACGTGACACATGCAGAGAGCCTGGATGTAGGGAACACTCAGTTGGTACCACTGGATGCTCTGGCAGATCCTCCCAAGCCATTCTGTAGGGGCACCTGGCACGCCCCGAGAATTCGGCCTACCTTTTGCGGTCTCCTTCCATGTAGGGATCTTCTTCAGCTTAATGAAGTCCCTGCAGAAGTAGTGCTCCTCCCTCTGCTTGTCACTCAAGCCCTTCAGAAAGGCTGCAGGGGCAGGACAGGCGGGAAGGAGAGTCAGTGTGGCAAGGCCAAGAGGGGTCCCACGTAGGCCTCCTCCTGAGTCCAAGAGTGCAACCCAATCCTACCAGCCGTGCTTCCCATGGCCCTCAGGGACAGAGACATGGACGACTCCACAACATCTTGCCCTGCTGTCTTTGTTCAGGAAGAGAAACTGAGGCCCAGGGAGATTGAGGGACTTGTTCAGTCACTGCAGACACCAGTTCAGAATTCAACCTGGTCCCTTCCCGATACTTAAACATCTCTAGGTCCCTGCTATCTGCATTTGTAGCGGGGTGAGATGTCCCTTGCAGAACAATTGCAAACTCGCATGCACTAAGCCAAGCAGGCTTGTGATGCTCTGTCCCTTGTCAGTCACAATGTCACTGATGGCAAGACAAATATCCTCAAAGACAGACTCTTGCAGATCTGGAGCCCATTGTCAGCATCCTCCCAGCACTGGTCGGGGTTTCTATGCAGCTGCAGGCAAATGTTCCCATTTTTACAGAGGAGGCATCAGGCACTTGGGAGGCAGCCTGAGGTCACTCAGACACTGAGTGAGGACCCAGGCCCCTCAGACTCTGAGTATGCCAAGTTGGTCCCCGCTGCCCCAAGTCAGGCCTTCCCTTGCTGTAGTGAATTTGAGCCACCTCAAGAGGCTGGTCTGCTACAGCTTAGTCCAGGCTTATGGCTCACAGGCTCCCCCTGCTGGTGAGAGGCTATCTATACACTTAGCCCAGCCAAGAGCCCTCAAATGCAGGCTAGGGGAATGGAGAGGGGATAGCACATAGCAGAAAACAGATAGGAATATGGGGATGCGGGTCAGCTGGTGGAATGCTTGCACAAAGCCCTGGGTTCCAACTTCACTACCACCTCCCCTCCTCTAGGTGAGACTCAGCTCAAACCTAAGAGCAGCAACTGACCCCAAGCTGACCCTTGTATTACCCCATTTTCAAACCTGTCCTCACTACACCCACCACCGACCCGGCCATTTACCAACATGTTCCTCAAACCCCCAGGAGATTTCCTGCTCAGGGCCTCTGTACCTGCTATACCTGGAATAGCAGTTTACCTTCCAATCTCTCTTCTCATTACCCTCTCCGTTCCCTTCTCCACTTAAATGGCACATGCCTTTAATCCCAGCACTAGGAAGGCAGAGGTAGGCAGATCTCTGTGAGTTCAAGGCCAACCTGGTCTACAAAGTGAGTCCCAGGATTGTTACACAGAGAAACCCTGTCTTGAATCTTAAGAATTTGTGTACTGGACATCGACCAATAAGATCTATCCATGTAAGGATCTGTACCATTCACCACCAGCACAGTGTGTGCGAGGGGCTATGGATGACTCAGTGAAGAGCTGAAACCTGAAGGCTGAGGATCAGCTGGCTGAGCAGCCATGCAGGCAGAGGGCCTGCCTGTGCGGAAGTGCTGAGGCAAGAGGGAACATTTGGGGGAAGCGGGAACAGCCAGAGCAGAGAGAGAAGTCAGGGCACAGAGGGGTAGGTGGGTGGAGAGGAGGCGTGTGGGACTTTCACTGAGGGTCTGTGAGAAGGGGGCAGTCAAGACCAGCAACAACAGTGGCTCTGTGGTAAGGTGCTCAGGTAGCGAGCATGAGTCCTGGGCTCAAGCCCTGTCCCAGCTTCAGGAAAAGAAGGCAGGACTGCAGTGTGGGTGCTTTGTAGCGTTACAGATCCTCAGGAGGGGTGCCCACCAGGGCAGGATTTGGTAGGGCAAAGCCTTTCCTGGGGAAAGCAGGGCAGCAGAATCCTGACTGTTATTTAGCTCCCCATACTAGTTATCACATGCAATCATGACCAGACACCCTGAACCTTGGCACAGTCAAGTGTGGATGCTTCCAGCCGGTTAGACCTGGAGCTGGCACCAGGAAGCTGTGGTGACTCCACTGCTTGCCAGCTACCGCAGACCAGCTACAGGCACTGCTGAGATGGTCAGGCTGGGACCAACCCTGCAGCCACATGGAATGAGGCCCACGGCCCAAGGACACCCAGACCCCTGGCAGACACATCTGACAGATGTCACCACCTTAGAGCCCTTGTCAGACCCAGATGAAAGAAACCTGAGGTGGGTCTGTCCTTCTTCATAACCTTGGTGGCCTGGTTTGAATGACCATAGTTCACAAGGCCCTCTTGCTCCAATGGAGTCCAAATAGAGCACTGTTTCCCAGAGACTGCACCCTGCCTCTGCCACAGCCACCACTACACCAGTCTCAGGGACATCTGTCAGTCTGTCCCTGTCAGGGATGGCCCCCAAATACACAACCTCAAAAGGCCAGCATGAGCCAGATATGGTGACATACAACTGTTATCCCAGCATTTGTCAAGCAGAGGCAGGAGGATGAGGAGTTCAAGGCTACCCTGGGCTGTATGAGAGATGAACTAAAGGCCAGCACACCAGTCTGTGTCTCCATCTCCACACACGGCCACAGTCATGGCAGGCTCCTGAGATGCAGAAAACTATAGAGCTGCCTGAGATGCTTCTCTGCCCCAGGGCCCAAGCACTTGTTCCCCACCCCAGCTCCAGCTTTGAGGATCATCTCCCAGGCCTCCTCTGCCCCACACAGAAGTCACTGCCCACCTCCTTCCAAGTCAGATGCAGACTTAAAGCACAAGTGGGTTTTATTTTTTTTATAAAAGATGTAAAACATGCATTTTCATTCTCTATCATTTTTGAAGAGGCGAGAGTATTTCACGGCTCACTGAGACAGGTGTTGTAAAAAGATGTTCGCAGTAAATTTTGATGGGGAAGCCTGACCCCAGACTAAGCTTCCAGAGGCTCGCGGGCACGAAAGCTGTGCAGGAGGAAGCAGGCTCCGCCAGAGCCATAAAGCGCGCCAGGCAAACGGGAATTCAATGATGTGTTTTAAGAAGTATCTTTATGACACTTTGCAAGATGTCGTTCTGAGAGATGAGACGGGCTGAACCTGTGGGGGTGCGGGGGGGCTGAGTCTGCAGAACACCAGGTGGGCACAGCTGATAAGGTTGTGCACTCGGACACAGCAGCGTGCAGCGTCTGTGGCATTAATCACCTGTGCTCACCGGCCCCTGGGAGCAGAGACTCAAGCAGGGAAGAACAGAGTGTAAAACCCACTGCAGCTCTCGACCTGCCTCCACTCACACTGGGGTGTACCAAGACTGCATCCCAACATGGAAGAGATGCCCTTACCCCTAATTCTCAGGTGCGCCTAGATGGTATGCTGGCTCAGCAGTCCCATCAGAGACACTGTCACTGAGATGATGTTCCCTACGGTCCTCAATCCTGGCCCCTCCAACAGGACCTGCAGCTGAAGCCTAAGAATCTCACCATGAGCCACCAGTGATGGGGACTGCAGGCTGGTCTGTAAGAGCCCAGCACAGAGTTGCTAGGAGGCTGGGAAGAAATATGAAAGGGGCAGCTCTGTAGGCTGTCACTCCAGTGTAGGCCCAGCACGACAACAGGAACTATTGATCCCACTTCACAGATGAGGAAATGGAGGCTCAGGGAGCATGCAGCCGTGATCCTGGGACTTGCTGGAGTCGGAGGGCACCAGTGTTCCTTCTTTTCAGTACACAATTCTGCTCCAGCGTGGGCCAAGAAGCCAAGGCTAGGACAGAGCCCCTAGATGTTCCTGATGGCCCCAGATAAGTTCCCTCAAGCCAACAGCCTTTCAGTGTGAAATTTCCAGTCTTTTTTAAAAGTAATTTTTAAATATGCATTTATTTTATTGTATTGCATGAGTGTTTTGCCTGCATGTATGTATGTGCACCATGTGTGTGCCTGGTGCCGTTAGAGGCATTGGATCCCCTGGAACTGGAGATGGGTGGTTGTGGGTTACTGTGTGAGGGCTAAAGAGTGAACCAGGCCCTCTAAATGATCAATCAGGGCTCTAAACTGCTGAGTCATCTCTCCAACCTATTTACAGTCTCCTAAATAAGCCCTTAGTTGGAGAGAGGGTACTGTGGCACCCAAGAACCAAGGGGATCAGGTTAACTAACCAGTGCAATCAGATCTGCCACTAACAAAGCTCAGCACTTGGCTCGACCCCCAGAATCATATAAACCAGGCTTAGTAGTGCATACCTGTAATCTCAGCACCTGGAATAATGTACAGGCAGGAGGATCAGAAGTTCAAAGTCATCCTCCATTATACAGGGTGTTAGAGGCCAGCCTAGGCTACAGGAGACACTGTCTCCAAACAAAACAAAAACAAAAGCCTACATGTCTCCTGATAAGGGGATCCAGTCTGGTGGTTGTCCGGATATGGATGGTTAATGAACCCAGAGAAGCAGGCAGCCAACAAGGAGGTGAAGAAGGAGCTGAGCCTTGGGAAAGGCCTCTCTAGCTGGACCACAGCAGGCAATGGACATAGCACAACACCTCATAAGGAGATTCTTCTGGAAGGCTGAGCCCTTCCCAAGCACTGATGCTTGCTCTCCAGCCTCCCATCTGCCCTCCTGCTGTGTGCCTACAGCCTGCTGCCTGGGTGAGATTATGCTTTGAATCTGAAGCCCCCACAGGCTCATGTCACATTTTACAAGCTTGGTCCCTCGCTGGTGGCGCTGTTCTTGGGGAGGTGGGGGCTGACTGGCAGAGCCAGGAGCTGGTCCTTGCAGGTTATGCCATACTTCCTGCCTCACCCTCAGCCTCCTCATCACCAGTCACTCCTGCCACCATGGTCGTAGTTTCCTTTTGTTTAAGACAGAGTCTTGTCAGGTAGCACCATCCTTGCTACACCAGTCTCAAACTCACAGCAATCCTCTTGCCTCTACTTCTGAGTGCTAGAATCAGAGGTGTGCATCATGCCTTCCTGGCCACTGCACAGAGCCAAAATGAATCTCTTTTTTCTTCCCTTAAATGAAGTTATTGTGGTCACGGTGATGTAAAAGCTAACGTGGGCTGCCCTGGATGAGAGCAGGTGCTGCCAAGCAACCCCAGACTGGTTTGACTTTCCCCTGAGGTGAGGAGCCCTGCCCAAGGGTTCAAGGGTTTTCACACCCACTGTTATTTTATATATATAGTTGTTGGTGGTGGTTTTTTGAGACCAGGTTTTACTGTCGAACAGCCTTGGCTGTCCTGGAACTCGCTCTGTAGACGAGACTAGCCTTGAACTCACAGAGATCCACCTGTCTCTGACTCCTGAGTGCTGGGATTAAAGGTATGCACCATCACCCGGCCTTATTTTTTTTTTAATCCTAAACTGCCTATACATTAGTGTTATGGGAATGTAGTCACTGTGTGCTGGTCTCTGACAGAAGATCGCCTCAGGAAAGCAAGCATCTGGATATCTAGTCCTCGTTTAGATATATCCCTGAAAGCACATGTCCGTGAGAGACACGCATCAGGATGGTCTGAGAAACCCTAATACCCATCTACAAAAGAAAGTGTATACACACGTGGTACATCTGTAAGATGGAAGGCCACACAGAAATAAAGAAGCATAAACTGTCATAAGGTGTACATGTGGACTACTGAGTGAGATCCAGGTCAGCCTGAGCCACACAGGAAGGCTTTGCTTGTTTGTGGTCTTGTTTTTGGAGACAGGTCTCACTATGTAGCCCTGGCTGGCCTAGAACTTGCCTTGCAGACCAGAATGATCTGGAACTCAGAGATCTGCCTGCTTCTGCCAACCAAGTGCTGGGATTACAGGCACATGCCACTAATCCTAAACTTTTTTTAAATTTAACTTTATTTTACGTGCACTGGTGTGAAGGTATCAGATCCCCTAGACCTGAAATAACAGACAGTCATGAGCTGCCATGTGGGTACTGGGAATTGAACCTGGGTCCTTTGGAAGAGCAGCCAGTGTTCTTAACCACTGAGCCATCTCTCCAGCCCCCTAATCCTAACCTTTAGAAAAAAGAAAAAGAAAAAAAGGTCATTAAAGCAGGTGGATTTCTGTGAGTTTGAGGCCAGTCTGGCCTACATAGTGAGTTTCAGGATTACATAGAGAAACATTGTCTCAAAAACAAAACAAAACAAAAACAAAAACAAAGTCTTTGGACCAGGCCATCCCCCCATTTCCATGCCCAGAGCTGGCTGTCCCAGATCATGGAGACTTGGAGTAACCTCTTCTACACCCTAGGTAACTAAAACACGAGAGGCCTTGTCTCACCTGCTAGCCACTGTCACTGATGATGCCTCAGGACTGCATTTGGTCACAGTGGGCCCTCCTCTAAGTCTAGCCCTCCCTCCTGACCCCGGAATGCCCTTCCCAGCCAGCTTCTTTACCTCGGGTCACTGATCGCCCTCTGACCTCCCCAGCTCAGGTGGCCCCAGCCAGCACAGTTTCTCCATAATACCCACAGGACAGAGACCATACCAGTAGTTTTCCCCTCTAGACAGACTGCTGCCTCCCCACTCTCTGCTGAGTCCTACAGCGCTGGCCCCCACAGGGTATGAGGTAAAAGTTTATTGACTGAGCACTAAGGAGATGGCTCAGTGCATGAATGCATTTGCCATGCAAGCCTAGACACCCGAGTTTGAACGCCAGAACCCACGTATAAGCCTAAAGGCCAGACGAAATAGCACTGGTATCTGTAACCCAGTCCACCCACTGGAAATGGCAGAGACCAGAGATTCCCCAGAGCCTCAAAGACCAGCTCACCTGGTTTACACAGACCCAAGGGAGCAGGACTGGCACCTAGAAACAGAGGCAGACCCTACACTAGGTGTGATACTGTCCTAGCTCTCTGCCTCTGCCCTGGGTTGCTGCTCTCCACGAGAAAGATGAACTCTAAGAAGGGACAATGACTCCCTCTGCTGGAGTTCTGGGCCAGCCCCCAACCTCTGGCCAAGTTTGAGGGAGTGGCAAGTTTTCTCTGCTCCCAGACAAGACTGTCAGTGCTTTAGGATCCTGGGCAGACAAGCAACTCAAACCACCAGGAGAAGTTCTCTTTCCGAAAAATGTCCCAACCTGAGGTTAGCTTTAAACTCAGCTTAACCCGGGTAGCCCAGCCCCCATGGTCATGCCCACCAGCAGCCCAGCCAATGAGACAGGCGCTCTTTTGAAAGCGGATCCGCCCAGAGTCATAGGGGAGAGACAGGCTCTGAAGGGCAGGGGCAGCTGGGCTGCCGCCCAGGGGCTATTTGGGACTCTGGACTTTGCGTTCCAGCTAAGAAATCGGTCGTGCAGGACCCGTGGCCCCTTCCCGGCATGCCTGTACAGAAGGAGAAATACTTTCATTCTTGGGGGAATCAGTGACTCGCACCAGCCCACACTCGGTGTCAGTCTGCTCTCCAGGTTCTATGAGCCCAGTCCTCCAAGAAGGGGGCAGCTGCTGGCAAGGGGCCAGAAGTCAGCAGGCGGGCAAAACGGGCACATACCAAACTCCTAGAGAGGCCGGCACCCGAGCTGCCACTCTTGGGACTATCTGAACCTACCTGGCAACCACCAGCCCTGTGTTACTCTCACAGCTTATCCCTGCCACTCGGCCCCAAATGTCTAGCAGCATGCAAGGCCAGGTACTGGAGGCCAAGATACCACACTTTGCTTCTACACACTCGAACCTGACCTTGGGGAAATGGGTTCCGACTCAGGGCCTCAGTTTCCCTCATGCGCACGGAGGAAGGTGGCAGGTCCCAGACGATCTGGGCGGAAGAGGGGGGAGAAGGGGTTCTTGGGGGCCATAGCCGCCTTCCCCACTCACTTGGTCAAGAGGTGACCTGGTGTGGGAACTGGACATGGCTGTGGGCTGAGAGGAGTCCCCAAGTGTTTCGGGACATGTGGGGTGCCATTTGGCCCGGGAGGCCCACGCCCTGAGCTCACACTTACATTTGGCCTCCTTCCAGTCGGTGGAGGTGCTCAGGTCCACTTTCGCGGCCATGGCCAGGGGGGCCCAGGTGCGCACCCAGGCTCCACGCCCCGCCGCCCCCCACGCCCCAACTCCCGCCGAGGGCCACGCGCAGAGGCTGTGCGCGCTTAGCGCCACCGGGGGAC